TGCCAAAAGGAAACTTGGCGCATAAATGCCCATTCTAAGAATTGATTTCATAAATGGAAAAAATCTCACTTTTTAAGCAGTTCATGTATCAGTATTCACTACCATCCTTTCTCATTCCATTTTTCTATGGGTTTGCTTACTGTCCTTGTTAACTGCTGTCAAATAATATGAAGTGGGAAAAGCTGCCTTTAAGTCAGCAATATACCTAGCCCACCTTGGTGGTCAGAAGAGAAAGCTGGTAGTGCATTTTTCTCTTGAAAAATAAATAAAATGTAAGGCTTATTATTTAGGGGTCAGGGATCCTGGGACCTAGTTGGTGTAAGATGCTGGGTTCGTTGTTTTCAATCTCTTGATTTACTGACTGCTGTATTTGTACTGTTGAACTGTTCCAGTTCTAACATTAAGCATCACTGCTAGTGACAAGCCGAGCACTGCCACATATATCACAGATGTAGATAAAAAGAGCTCTAGACTACAGAGAGGATCCTCTTAGGGAGGTGGTAAGAGGCTGTGGGTTTTCATGGTTAGCAGTGTTGTCTTTAGACCAGCATATGTGGAATGATTCTTTCTTTTGAGTTATGATGATTATGTATGTTTTTACAATTGCAGTTTTAAGATGTGGAGGTTGCAGAATCTTTTGGGAATGGCAGAATGGATAAGATACTGCGATAAGATACTCTGGCACAATGAGACCAAAGTCTCTGCCATTTCCATGCTTAGATGTGCATTCTTCTTATCTCATGGCATGGTCAGGAATGTGTTTGAACTGCTAGCATTTCATTGTGAAGCTTTGAGAGCGGGTGCATCAGAAATAGAAGGAATGGATTCCTTGGGAATCAATGAATTTTCCTAGCATAAAACGAAAGTGCTTTCTCATAAACAAAGAGGAAGTCATTTGGCAAAAAAACTAATATTAAGTGCACTTGCAGGAAATGTTTATACTTTGCTCCTTATAAACAGCAGCAGAGTGACTATGTTGATAGTGCAGCAATGTTCAGCATGTGCAGCTTGCAAGGAGGGCCAGAAGGTCTGGGGATAATCTTCCACTGGGAAGATACGTTTGAAATAACTTCAGTCGCAACTCAATGACCAAACCGGTCATTGGAAGGATTTCCATATGCTTCAGGAACCACATACTTCACCTTTACCCTTTTCTACAGTAGTGCTGCCTGGAGCTCCATCACTGCTGACTGCAACACGGTCCCCAGTCCTGCTCTTACTAGCACTTGCATCCTGCCAAACACTTGGTTCAGGAGGGCAATGTGCTTGTTTTGCAGAGTGCAGTGGTCAGCAGTGTGTTTCTTCTTGCATTTGAGGGTACTGAATGAGATGGCCAAGTTCTTACCTCTGCTCTAGTTGTCTGATTCACCCAGATGTGTGTGTTTGGTCCCTGTTTGGGGAGTTATTTCAGTAGTCACAGAGGTTTAGAGAATTCCTTTTGAAAGCAGAGTGGAGGGGAGTATGGCAATGTTCTAAGCCACACCAGTGAAAACCAGACTGCGTAGCCCAGGTCAGGCCTGAGCATCCTCTGGTTGACACATTTGCTTGTAGTCTATGGAGGGGTTACTAATTAGAATAAAGCTAGCTAGATATTAATGTCATGGAACTATTTTTTGACTCTAAGGTTGTGCACTAAAGCTCCAAGTGTCTTGTATTTTGACCTTGATACTGCATGTCAATGCTAAGCTATTCTTGAAATATATTAATTATATAGGACAATGTTAATTTCCATTTATTATCATCCCAAATTGTATTTCAGTGAGCTTTTGTTACTAAACTCCAACATGAGGTATTTTAGAGGTGAGCTGTGAATAAACTTTTTTCTTTTTTGAATAATTTTTAAAAAATAAACTGGAATGGCCAATACTAAGGAGTTCACTGGTCATGTAACACATGGGAGCTCTATCTCTTTGCTGCTGCTTTTTTGGAGCAGCAGTTTGGGGAGCCCTGATCAGATTAGCAGGGAATAAAACTTGCTGTGATTCAGTGCATTTTTTGTCAACAGCTGCCTAGCCAGGCTAATGTGAATTTATTTCTTGGGAAAGAGTGGAACAACTTGTAAGCAAGAGTTAAATATTCCCTTTCTTTTTAGCAGCTGTGTCACAGTATTTTTCTGGAAGATTTAGTTTAAGGCTTCATAGACATCTTATCCATTAGATGTTGAAGACTGTTTTCTGTTCATGTGTGACTTTAACAGAGAACAGTTAGAACAAGTAGTTTTAAATTGTTATCATTTTTGCTGCAGAAGGGTTTGATTTGTTGCAAGCAGGGTTATTATCAGAAAAGTAGCCATAGGAAAATAGCATCTTTTTAGCTGAAGACTGACTTTCAGTAACCACTTTTTTCAATTATTATTATTATTTTTTAAAGTTGTGCTTTTGTGTGTTGACTGCTGCTGTGTGGATGCATGCTGGTACGTGCTGGCCGCTGATAATGTGCTAAACTGCCTGCAGCAGTAAGGAGCTGGCAGGACTGTTTAGGTAATAATTGGTCAGGTTCTTAACTTATGCGTGGGCATGTGTACTTGAAAATTTTCAAAGTCCAGAGTCTCAGTAAAGTGCCTGTTTTCACCTTCCTCAGCCCACACAACTAATGAGGCTGCATCAGAATAGGAGGGATTTTTTGCAGGTTAATGCATCATGAAACTTTTATATAGAAAGACTCGGAGGGAAGACTCCTGGGCTTACCTTTTTTACCTGTACAGTGATGTGGAAGGTTGACACTGTTGTTTCCACTACACTTTCACTATGTAGTAGACCAAATAATCTACAATTTTTCCAGGAATAAAGGGGAGCAGATTCTTGCTCTGCCTGGGGTGATAGTTAACCCTGAGCAAGTGGTCTGTTCAGGAGAAACTCAATTCTGTAGGTAGAAGGTGGCCAGATTTGCTCTTGGTATTTGAGTTAAGGACTTACTCATAAACCACCCTGTGGCTTAAGATACTTCTGGAAGAGGCATCACCTCTGTTGGCTGGTTGGAGATGGGCAAGGTAGAAGTGAGTAGCCCATGTGCTGTTGTTTGTTCTTTTGGTCCTCCTATCTTCTGCTCTTTTAAAGTGTGTAGTAGGAGATAGGAAAACATATGGAAAAACAAACACTCCATCCACCAAGGGAGTACAATGAATGCCCAGTTCAATTCCTGCCAAGGCTTCATTTCCTTTCTTGTTGTTTCCTCTCTAGTATGTGGTGTAATTAATTAGCATTGGATCTCTATTGACCCTAGATGTCAGATATATCACTGTATTCTGCTACTACTTGAGCACTGGGCATTTGAACATGTGAGTTTTTTTGTTGTTTCACAGAAACCAAGGGAAACAGTTGTGTTTAAAGAGCATAACCGCTGCAATTGGTATATGTTTAAAATGATCATATATAGTATCCAAGTTGATTATGTATTTGGCAGTGTACATTTTCAAAGCATGGTGATTATGAAGCATAGACTTTATGATGCTTCCCAAATTATCATAAGTTGGGCTTCTATATCTTACATCTAAAGTTTAGAGTTCTTTTAAATAAAACAGTTGCAAACTGGAATAGTTCATATACAGGTCAGCTGAGATCTCATGTAACAGCATCTTTGTTGCTACTCAAGTGAGCGTGGTAACTTAGGAAGGGCACTCTAATTTGAGCTGTGTTCACAGAAACTGAGTTGCATGGGAAGAACTGAACATCATACAGAAGAACAGATTTCTTGAAGTTGTGTTGGTAGTATGAGGGGAGGGACTTTGTGCATAAAACAAGCAATCTGAAAAGAAATAAAAGCAGCTTTGGAAACTTGGAGCCCTGAGAACCCTTGGGCCTCACTGAGGCCCTTCTGGGTGGACCTTGGATCTGTGCCGAGGCCTTGTGGGCAGCCCGGGCTCGAAGGCACTTTCCCAGGTTTCTGTCTTCTGACAACAGGTTCATTTTTATTAATAATCTTTTGTCAATCTTTGGAGGCAGTCTGTGGCTCCCTTGATGTCACTGTACACTGTGTGAAAGCTGCTCTTGTAGGTGGTACAAGATGTTTTTGTCTTGTCGCACTGGAGCAGATGAAAAGCTTCAGGATGTGCTCTGCAAACTCGCTTGATCTTTCCTGATACTTCAGGATTTCTCCCATAGTATAACAGCAACAGAACAAGTTGTGAGTATGAATGTTCAAAGTGAATATAATGTAATAAGTGTGTAGCAGAGTAAAGCTGCAGAGGGCTTTTTCACTAGAAGTCAGAAAATTCTTCCTTAAAGGACCATTGCTCAATCAAACATTAGTGCTATATATGCTAATGGAAATTGAAGGTATTGTAGTTTGGGGTAAACATCATCTGTACTATGTGTAAAGCTGAAAGTCAGGTCAGGTGACTTGAAATGTGCTCTCTAACTTGTAGTGACTTCGAAAGTCATATTCAGAAGTGCTTTGGAAATGCATGTTAGCTTAAATCATTCAAAATACTTTAAAGTGCTTAAGGAGTTGTAAGGACCAGCTGTGCCAGCTCTGCACTGACCCTCAGGAGCCAAAAAATCCCTCCCTCAAATTCCTTCTTCCCAGACTGTTTGTGGTGGTTCTTGCCTCTCTGGCTCTCTGATCGTCCCCTCCTCCCTGTTTGAAATGGTGGCCAGTAGGAACCTGTATCCACATTTCTTTTAGAGTAGGCTGCTATTTGCTTTTGGTATGAATGGCAGTGTGCATGACAGCCTTTTGCACCTGCCAGTTTCGCTGAGGTTCAGTATTAAAGTGAGGTTTTTTTTCCTGTTTGGCTTCTCTTGTTTGGCACAAAGGTCTGAGCCATTTGTGCCTTTTAATGAGGAAGGAATCATGCTTTAGAGAAGTGAGATCAGAGCATTTTACGGTCAGACAAATATCAAGGTGTCCTTTGAATGTATGCAATGAAATTCTGCATCAGCTGAAGTCGAGTGTGGTTTCCTTCATACGTCTTTTTCTGTTTATGTAAGTTGTGCCTTGCCATAGTCCTTCACAGTCTGACACAGAGTGACACTGTTTTCTGTTCCTATCCTTGCAGGTTGAGCAGCAAGAGGTGAACATGGCTCAAGCATCCAGTGATCAAAGTAATGTGGAAACTGCTGACCTGGAGGAGAGTTCTCCCAATATGATTGTCTACAGAAAGGTAAAGGTTGGTCTTTGTTTAAGAAAATCTGCCATTTTTGTCTTCAGCTTGTGAAAGGATCCCTTGTTCCTGTGTAAGTCTAAGGTGTCTTTTAGTCTGCTCCAATGGATAACTGAAATATTTTTCAGGAAGGTAGAAATCTCATTCTATAACATTTGAGGACTTGCAAGTATTTTTCTGTTCAGTGGAAATATTTAAGCCTGTTAATAAAAATACTTCATGTCAGACTAAAAAGGTATAACTTAGAATTTATAAATTATTGTAGGCAGTTGAAAGGAGAAAAAGTTGCATTACCAGTTTACTGACTACAATCATTGTACATAATTTCCAGGCTTTATCACACTGTGTAAAGCATTGTTTCTTTGCAGGTAGTTATTATTTGCCATTTTATTATTCCAATTAAATAAGAGAACCTTACACTATGATCAGATGTCTCATTTTGGAGTGCTTTGGCAGTAGTAGTGGAATCTTCTAACCCACTTGCTAAGGCATTGTTGTGCTCTGGGACAGGTAGTGCTCTACAGTTCTGCAAAGCAGGGAAAAAATGTGTAGCTCCACTAAGTTACCATTCTGTTTATTCTACTGACAGCTATAATGCTAGCTCAAATTGGGCTTCCTTATGTAGTAAAATATTGGGCAAAAATCTTATTTTAGCCATTTTTACACCTTACAAAATAGCTATAAATAACTAAAATGTGTTAATGTGTAAAATGTGATATTTGCATGATTGCAATTGTGGTGACTTTTGTGTGCTGAGAATTTAGATATTGTAAACAGCAAAATGTTACTTTTTGATGTGTGTGTGTTTTTTTTTTGTTGCATATTTGATTTAGAAGTTGGAACTGTTAACATGGTAAAACTTTCTGGATGATGTCTTGGCTTGTTTGTTTTGAATGTTACAAACACTTTTGCTGGTAATTTAGAGGATGCAGCGGTAGGTTAGACTTAGCTTTTTAGATTCTGTTCCCTGAGAGGTCCAATACCAGCAGATTGAAGCTGATTTGGGACATAAAAGATGATTTGGTTGTCCCATCTAGAATTGGGTTATTAAAGCTGTGGTACTACAGAGAATACTTTTCCATTCCTGGAAACCTTGCCTTCTATGTGATCATGCCTTGCTCTTTCCTCATGTGACATTTGTATTTGAGGATTTTTCATTACTTTGCCTGTTGCTGTTTCATTATTAGAACTTTAGAATAAGCCTTGTGAGTCTTTCAGGGGTAATGGGGAACCCGCTAATGTTAGATTCATCTCTATCCTGTTTTTCCTCAAATGCCATTATCAGTCCTTAATATAGTAATTTGTAAGAATACATAGATACTTATTTAGAATAGCATGCTCAATGCATTGTTCATTGATACTGGAATTTCTATAATAAGTTAATGCATGTCTGTCAGCTCTGTTTGTTGCTCTTCTGAAGGCTTAATAGTAGCTCTTTTTCAGTCAGTTGATTTCAATTAGTGATTCACTTACTGAGCCTTCTTTACAGTTTAGTTATATATATTATCTATCCATTATTATGTTCCTTGAAGCTGAGAAGTCTTATGTAAAATCAGAGACAGTCTTATTCTTTTGATTATATCGCCTCTCTCCAAATCAGCATTTAGCTCGGCATCTCTTCTCATTTTCTTTCAAATGACTTGATTGCCAGTAATGAAGGAGGGAAACACTGCACTGGACTCCCTGCAGTGCAAACCACACAATTTGCCAGCATACCCTACAGTTTTAGTTGGTGTTAGCAGTTTCACAGTACAAGAAAAGATTTTTTTTTTTTCTCTGTCCTTCCAATAATGATCATGACAGGCATATCTTGGTTCCCAAGGTAGGAAAAGAAGAAAGGCCAGGATACAATTGCAGAACTGTTGCAAGCAGCTCCTGCTGCAAGTCTTGGTCATTCTGTTGTTTCACAGTAGTCATGTTTGTGAGTGTTGGGGGACACCATGGAGGGTGCTGGGTGAAGACTCTATACATGCAGCTTCAGATTGTGTGCACTTTTAGTGGTGCACTTTGTTTAGTGAGACTCAAGATTTGAGGTTTGAGCCAAGAAGGCATAATACTGCCAACTAGTACTTTGGTTTTCTTTATGATCTGTGAATGAGAGGGGCACATCTAAAGAACAAAAGAGGTCTTAGGCGGGGCTGAATCTCCTTTTGGAGCCACCTGCCTTTTCTATATGGAAAAAGCCTAGAGGGAACTGCGTGCTTGCCTTGTGTGCTTACAATTATGCAGAATGGATTTTGGCCATGCAGAACAAAAAACATTAATTTATTCTCACTCCTATTAGTGTATGGTGTTCTCTGGACTCCTGCAAGCTCACTGATCCCAATTGCTTTGCTATAGCAAAGGGACTCAGTGAGACATGACCTAGGTTTGTCTGCTTTTGGGGATAACCATTTGGGAGCATTTATCAAATTGTGAAGCATACTAACTTGGAATCCAAAATGCCCAGTGTTGTCCTACCATTCTGGAAGATAAACAGTTTCAAAACAGATTTAAACTTGGGTTACCCATTTGGAAAAGCAGCTGCAGTCAAACAGAGGAGATTCTTGTTTACTAAGACATGATGGGAGTTGCCTGGCTTCAGCTTCCTATACGTGAATTGGTTGGTGAGGATGCACACCTTGGGGGCAGTAGTGTTTTAGGATGTGATTTATCTAACCTTGTACGTGGTCAGGTTCAGAGTGCTCTGACCTGCATGAATTCTATGGACTGGAGGCTTCCATTGGCTATGATGGATGCCTTGACATCTGGCTATCAGGTAGTTGCATCTTATGCAACTACTTTGAAGCAAGCAGATGTTGCCCATACCCAAGGGCTCCTGTGGAAGGGAGCAGCATCCCAGTCCTCACTTCTGTCTGAGCGTTGTGGAGCATGAAAGAAAGAAGTATGAGAAGAGAAAAATGCATTTCAAGCAGACAGCAACAGAAAATATCAATTGATTTTTTAAATGCCTGTCACTGTTCCTTGAAATCCAGCTGTTGTTGATTGCCTTTCTGGCTTTCCATGCTGTTTGTGTCCCAGGGGCCCTTTGGCTCATGGTCCTGATAATTCAGGGCTTCAGGGTTCACCTTCTGCATCAGAAGATGAACTGTTTGTTGTTATCTTCTGGCACCAGCAAGTAATACAGACTTATGTGACTTATTATCAAAACAACCAAATCAAATTCTAGAGAAGACTGGAAAATTGTCATGCCATTAAAATGGAAGAAAAAGCTAATATTTAGGGTTTGACTAAACAAAGGCTGAAAATACCAATAAGGAAGTATTTTTAGGAGTATCTGGGGACTTGAACAAGGACCTTTAGTATGAAAACACCAAGGTTAGAATCTAGGCTGCAGAGCAAGAAAGGTTTGCTCCTGAGGGAGATCTCTTAGGCTGGAGAAGAGCTGGCAGATGTTGCTGTTGGAGGTGGCTAGAACCAGCCTGAGTCCTGCTGAGGGCTATTTCTGGGGCAGCAGTCCCTTGTTTTCATCTCCACAGCCAAATTTTACCAGCCTGAACTGCTGCTTTGGTCAGCAGGTTGTGAGTTAATTTCTAGATTTTTATGGTTGTTCATCCCAAGTCTTTTAAGCAAGAAAAGCTAATTTCAAAAGTCAATTACTGTTAAAAGTAAATGTGGACCTGCAGCTGCCATAAGGTATTTTCAGAAAAATCTGAATCGTCTGCTAGCTGTGGTGTTGAGCAGCCTGATTTGCTCTTTAAATGCCCCAGATAGTTGCCAAAGAAGCTGCCAGAGTTGTATTAGGAGCTTTTCCTCTGTGGGAAACTCTATGGGCTTCAGCTCATGGCAGACACTTAGTGCTGTGAAGCAGGGTCTGAACTGGTGACGGGAGAGAACCTAGTAGTATTGCCACCAAAACTGCCTGGTTTTAGGATTGTATGATCTGCTTCTTGCTAAAGTGGAAACTGGATGCAGGGAGGCAGGAGGCCTTTCTGGCTTTGGATTTTTAGCTTTGTCTGTTTCCCTTGAATGGGCACCTTTAAATGCCTGCAAGCACCTTTGCATGCGCTGGCAAGCTGCACTGCTGGAGGGTGACTTGGGTAGGTGCTCCTGAGCAGAGCTAGTGCCACTGGCCTGGCTGCAGATTTGAGGGTAAAGCTGAGGGCCATGGATTCTGCAGCTGTTAGATGCATGTCAAGGATTAGTGATCTAGGACACCTGTGTAAAATCACATAATGCTTGGAGGGCTTCCCAGATTGATTTCCATCTCTGCATGTGAGTAAAGCTGATGTAGGGAGGATGGGGCCAAACTCATCTTAGTAGTGGCCAGTGACAGGACAAGCAGTAATGGGTACAAGTTGAAACACAGGAAAAGGAACCAGTGGCAGAAACCAGTCTTCAAAATCAGGTGGAGGCAATAAACCTCCAGCAAGGGCTCTTGACACTTTGTAGCTTGTGGTTTCTTTTCAATATTTGTCTTCTAGTAAGAGTGAAGACTTGAATTTCAGCTCAGCAGGTGGTGTGTTAAAGTTACAAATAAGGAAATGTTCAGAACATGGTAGGTAGACTCTCAAATAACTTAGTAATCTCAAAAGCTTTTATATATATGATGAACAAACAATCCTCTGTTTTTCCTGGCTATGTTGGTTGATCTAATACATGATATTGCCTGCCTTAAAAATCTTGCCATTAAAGTAGTGATTGCCCTGCCTAATTCTTGCTGGTATTTTGCATACACAAATATTTCTACTCTTGGGAGGAAAAAAGGTCTTAACTCAGTGTAACTCCAGCATACTGTTCCTTTGTGGAATTAGCAATTTCAGCAAGTCTTCTCTCTACTCTTTTGTGGCTTTCTCCATATTCAATCAGGTGCTTTGTTTTCATTCCTCTCAGGCTCATTTTTGCATATTCCTTTCTGTAACTAAAAGAAGAAACTGTCTCATGGAGCCACCAGAGTCTAATTGCGGTGATCCATTCCTGAAGCTGTTCTCAGAGGCAGAAAAAAGACAAGCCAGGACCAACAACTATGACAACTTCAAAGTATATTTTTAGCAAAGCAG